TAGTGTTGGTTGATGATGCAGGGAGGGGATTGTAACCATGGCAATGATACACGATAGGATGAATGTAAAACTAATGTTCTCCCATGTAAACGATCACATAATTCACAATAAAACATTAAAAAAAAAAAAAGAAGAAGAAGAAAGAAAAGAATTAGCCATAAAACAAGAGAAAATGTGGACCAAAACTCAAAATTATTTTTAAAATAAGACAGGTTTACTGGTCAGAAAGAGACAGGAGGAACTTGCGATATGGCCTGCAATCAGCCTTCAGGTCTGGAAAAGGACTCGTCCTCATGGCCCAATTTTAGACCAAGCAGTAGATAGGTTTACAGTGAGGGACAACACTATTGAGGTATACTCGTCATGAAATGGTCAGTCATTCAAACTCAAAAGGACACCATTTTACCAAGGACAAAGTTGAGAAGGGATGGGAAGGTGGGTGGAATGCAAATAGGAACCACAGGGAGGAAGCCTGGTAACTGTTGTTGCAGGAAGCGGATTGTAATCTTTGAGAAGGAACACAGTGTATGATTTGTTAAATGTAAAGCTGATGATCTAGTCTGCAAGCCTTTGTTCAATTCACAATAATATATACATATATATTTAAAAAGAACTAGCCAGAACACAGAACACAAGGAGCCCTGGTAGTGTAGTGGGTTACACATTGGGCTGCTAACCACAAGGTCAGCAGTTCAAATCCACCAACCACTCTGTCTGGAGAAAGATGAGGCTTTCTGCGACTGCAAAGATTTACCGTCTCAGAGACCCTACACAGGGTCACTGAGTCAGAACTGACTCAACAGCACACGGCAGCAGTCAGAACTCAGGCAGAAATGAGAACACTGGGTAAAAAAAGGTGTCATACACAAAGTTATTGTTGTTGTTAAGTGCCATCAAGTTAGTCACGACCCATAGCAACCCTGTATATGGTTTTCAAGGAAGCAGCTGGTGAGCTTGAACCGCCGACCTTGAGGTCCAAACCGACTTTGCAGTCCAGCGCATTAACCCACAGCGCCACACCAGGATTCCATATTCAAAGTAAGTAACACACTGAAATGTGTGCATTACTTACTTTTAGTTTATTTGAATTGTAACTGCTTTGTAAGGATCACATTAAAAGAGAAGAGTTTCTGGAAAAGATCTAGAAACAGAGGTCACAGGTAATGTACAAAACACATTAAAGCAACAGCTTTATCATATAGAATACCACTGAGAACTTGTACGTCTAGAACGGGCTCACCAGATCCAATTTCTATATCCCTTGCTTCTCATTAACTTTAAAAAATTTTTTCAATTATTGTGAAATGTACTCATTTGAAACATTTCATTCCTAACTATGACAGACGAGGGGGGGCAGTGACGCCATATAAGCACGGAACTGTAAACCACAAGGAACATCGTCTGAACCCGACAGCCGCTTTGAGGGAGAAAGATGAGGCTTTCTGTTTCCGAAAAGATTTAAAGCTTCGGAAACGCTAAACAGGGTAGCACTTAACAACTATGACAGAGGAAAGCAGGGGCCCATTTCATGAGACATGTATGCTGGTTATGTTCCCTGTAAAGCAGCTTCCCAGCATGGATTCCACTGCACATCACAAGGCAGTGTCGTCTGGAAACTGCTGGTAAGCCCCGCTTTGCTCTCCGTGGCAAGCCAGGTGAGCAAGGTCACCCTCTGCCAGTTAGGGATCCAGAACCTAGAACATCCTTGACCAGCTGGAATGTGCCCATCTGACTTTTTGAAGCTCAGCACCTTCAATGTGAGGCCAGGCCCCCAGGGAAGCACGTGTGGGAAAGGTCAGGCTACAATTACACGTTTATTCTTCCAGCTGAAACCAAATCCAAGAGTTCACTTTTGCCATCCAGCAAGCCATCACTCAGTACCAGCAAGAAATTACTAAGTGGAAAACAGGAGTGCAGTTAGCCCAGGGAAGAAAGTGCAGCCAGCAGAGGAAGATGAAATTTCGTGGGTTAGATAATAGAGTGTCCATGAAAATTGCTGATTCTAGGTCCTTCCTGGTATCAGTTCCAAGGGGGAAGGAAACTGAGAAGGTGATGGGAGAGAACATAAATAAGAGGATGGAAATAGTGCCGTGTGATACGTTATATTCCATTTCCAAGCATGTGCCTCTAAAAAAAAAAAAAACCATGACATTGATTTGTAAATTCTTTCTAACTAGCAAAAGAAGCTCAGGCTGCCTGACTTTTACCATATTTTCCCATTACAATGTTTCAAATTTAACAATTTTTTAAATTGTGGCCGTAAAAAGTAATTTCATAAGTGGTTTCTGCTGTTGATTTTCTCTACACTAAAACAAAACAAAAAACACAAATTAAGAGAGGGTCAGTGGCTGAGGTCCATCAACCATACAAAACGTCTGGAGAAGGATTGTTCCCCTTTGACTAGCGAGCTTGTGTGAAACAAACCTTCTAGAGGTGTAATGATGAAGTTTTACTGTGCTGTGGTGGGAATTCACATTTTGCGGGATATGGGCCTGGAAGAGCTATTTTGAGGAGGCAGCTGCCCAAGTGAAGGTGAAGATGATAATTCACACCAGTGAATCCTGCTGATACTTCCAAGAACTTCTATTGGATGCTGGCTTGTTGGCTTGGCTAAACTCAAAAGCAAGTATGCTTTCAGGGTATTTATATAGGAGCGTTCTCATAAGGACATGAGGTGGTGGTGGTGGTGGTATGCCATAGAGTTGCTTACGACTCTACATGTCAAAGCTGATGATCTTGTTTAGAAACCTTCACAATTCACAACACAAAGTAAAAAAGCAAAGAAGGACAGCGATTTAAGGTAAATTTGGTGGTTGTGGTTGTGTGCTGCGGTGTCGGTTCCGACTCATAGCTACCGTGTATAGGGTTTCCAAGTTTGCAACTCTTTATGGGAGCAGAAATCTTCATCTTTCTACTGCAGAATAGTTGGTAGTTTAGAACTGGCTAACTTCAAGCTTGGCAGCCCAACTTGTAAACACTACGCTACCAGAACTCCTATGCTACCATGTAGGCAATTTTATTTTTTGATAAAAGAGAAAATAAAACAGGTGCTAGCCAGAACACCTTAAAGAGAATCTCTGTTACTAAAAGAAATTTTATGAGGAAAGGAAGAAGCCCCATAAAGTAAAAACGGGTTCTACCTCTGAGACTTTTGGAGGGGCCCCATTCACCAGAACCACCCAGCACAGCCCTACAGACTCTAATGTGAAAATGGGAGACCAATAAAGGGACTCCGACAAAGTGCTCCTTCTGAAAGCTAGACCAACCCTGGGGAAAAAACCCAGGCTGGGAAGGACCCTCTTTGGTGTGTCCTCCACTAGCAAAAATCGCCATGTTTTGAAAACTATCAGACTCATGCATTCCACCCCCACTACCCCTGCCTCCCCCTCACCCCAGGCTGCCTGCCCTGGGCCTCTAGTTTACAAACCTAAATTCTCCCATTTATTCTTTCTTTCCCTATTCTTTAAAGTGTTAAAGAGCAAAGATGTCACTTTGAGGACTGAGGTGTGACTGACCCACGCCAGGGTATTTTCAATCACCTCATACGCATGTGCAAACTAGACAATGAATAAGGAAGACCGAAGTAGAATCCACGCATTTGAATGATGGTGTTGGTGAAGAATACTGAAAGTACCATGGACTGCCAGAGGAACAAACAAATCTGCCTTGGAAGGGAAGTCAGAACATTCCTTAGAAGCAAGAGTAGAGAGGCTCTGTTTCTGGTGCTTAGGACACATTGTCAGCTTGTCAGGAGGGACCCGTCTCTGGAGAAGGACCTCATCCTTGGTAAAGTGGAGGGTCAGAGAAAGCAGAAGACCCTCACTGAGATGGATCAAAACAGTGGCAGCCAAGATGGGCTCAAATATATCGATTGTAAGGATGTCGCAGGACTGGCCAGTGTTTCGTTCTATTGTGTGTGGGGTCGCTATAAGTCAAAACCAACTTGAAGGCACCTAACAACTCTGGGTGTGGTGCTGTATGATCAGCACTGGACTGCAAACCATAAGGTTGGCAGTTCAAATCCACCAGCTGCTCCTCGAAAACCCTGTCTCTATGAGTGGGAACTGACTCTGAGGCACTTAACAACTACAACAACAATTTTTTCCCTAGGTCTTTTCTCCTTCTTCAGCCTGAGGCATTTGTAGTCTTGTCCTTCGGTTGTCTACCCGCAACCTGCTATGTATGCAAGCCTCTGTGGAGGTGGGCCAGGAGTAAGGTCAGAGGCAGTGACCCCCATTTAGGTAAGAAGGACCTTCTCCCAGTCTCCCCAGCCCCCCAAGAATTCGGTATTAATTCCTTCTGCCTTGATTCCTCAACTTTAACCACACATGGAACTTTCGGCAGGCTTTCATTGTTCTGTTAACTCTTCCAAGATCCTTCTCAGAACGGCTGCATTTGGACTTTTCAATGGTCTTAAAGAATCATAGAAAAAAACAAACACCCAGAAACGATTTCATATCAGAGTTGATCGTGCTTCTGCAATGAAGAAAGTAAAATGACAGTAACTTTACTTCCTGGTCTCCAAATACTTGTTATAATCCTAAACTGGAGGACAGCACCAACAATGCCAGTAGCCTTTATTGTTAGTGTCTAAAAAATTAAGGTGATATTCTCACAGGAATTGTGTTGGAATTTTTATTCTAAAGCTAATACTCCTAAACAACGTACATTAAAAAGCCATTTCCAGCATTTACTCTAACGTGTCTCTGCTGATTACAATCCCCGCTGAAAACACTTCATTTAAATGTCTTGTGATTAGAAGCAAGGTCGACATTGGGAATTAAGTGGCAAGAAAACAAAATCTGAAGGCCACACATAGTGGCCCGACGCTTTCCCCGCTTGATTAGAACTATGTGAGAGATATAATTGCTACTCTTGAAAGGAAAATTGTTCCAGAATGTCCCAAGCGCTGTGTCAGCTGGAGTTGGGAGCGATGGAAGATATAAAGCCAAGAAGAGACAAAGTTGGGCAAAGTGAATTCTCTGCAGCAGCTCTCGGCCTTCACCCTGGTTAATGACCCCCCATTCCCCGGGTGAGGGCGAGCAGCGCGCCCCTAAACTGCCTGGCAGTGTCGATCTGGCCGCGCTCCACGGCGCTGGGCTCCCCAGTCTGCCTCACTCACAGCCCCTGGAGGGGCCTCACCACCTTCCTTTCTGCCGTTGTACAAGTGATGTCACTTCTGTGGCCGCTTCGGCCTCTGGTCGAGCAGCGCACAGAAGTCAGGGTCTGGAGGCACGACGGGCCAGGGCGCTGGGACCTTCCCAGCCGCAGAGATCTCACTCCTGGAGCGGTAAGCTCGCGCTAGTTTCGCCGAGCGAGGACCTTCTCACTTCCCCCAACTCTCCTAGTCACCTGGGTACACACTAACCCGACTAGAAAGTGTCCGACGTTTGGCCTTTGCTCCGGATGACACGGTGCCCCCTACGCCTCCCGCCGAGACCGACTTCTCAGAAGGGCTCTTGGCGTTGCGGGCCACCTAGCCGAAGCCTAGCCGGTTCCACTCGGTAAATCACCCCCCAGGGGTCTGCAAGAGGACCACCGCACCCTGGGCACCCGCCGGCCGCGCACCCTGCGCTCATGTTCCAAACGGCGTTGCAGAGGACCGTACGGGCGGCGCCTGGGTGCAGCTTGGCCCTCGCCGTCCCCCCCGCTTCGAGGCTCGGGGAGCCGTGCCACACTGCCTGCGAGTCCGCCCGCGGTGCGGATCGCGGAGCCCCAGCCAGGACTGCAATCGGGGCTTTGGGAGCCGGTTCCCGCCCCGAACGCCTGGCGTGGGCGCGGTTTCTCTGCGCGGGTCTCTGAGTGCCTCGCCGAGTCAGCCGAGGGAGCCCCTCTCGCAGCCCGAGCACCCTTAGGGGCCGAGCGGAGGGGCTTCTGGCCCGTTGGCCCCGCGGTCCCTTCTGCCCCAAGCGGACGACCCACTCTCCCCAGACCAGACGGCTCAGCGCGGAGAGGGAAGGCCGTCGAGTGGGAGGGGCGCCCAGCTCACCTTGGTGAACTTGACCTCCAGGTTGCGGATGGGGCGAGGCAGGGCAGACGTTTTCCTCTCGGGCTGTCCATTCTCTACCGTCCCGTTGGTAGTGGCCATGGCTCCTCGCGCTCGTGGTCCAGGCGCCCGAGTCTGCGGCGCGTCGGCTCCGGCCTGGGCGGTGCGCAGCCTGCTCGCAGGGTGACAGCCACGCAGGGCTTTATGCAGCGCCGCACGCCTCCCACCCGAGGGGGCGTCTAATTGGCTGCAGATCGGAGAGGAAGGAAGGGCGGGCGGTCTGGAGGGAGGGGAGGGGGCCGGCCCGCCCTCACTCCACCCCGCCAGTCCGCCCGCCGTCCCTGCGGGAGCCCGGCCACCCCCCGCCCCGGCCCGGGAGACTGCCTGAGGACTAGGGCCCCTAAGCACCGCCCGGGCTCCGGAAGTCCCAGGGCTTGGCCCGCGGCCCGAGGCAGGGAGATGGGGTGGGGTGCGCATCGGGCAGGTTCCTCCGCGGCACCTGCAGCCCCCTCTACTCAATCGTCCAACTCCACCACTCGCCGGGGGGGGGGGGTGGTCAAGGCTCGGGACCAGAGGCCCCTATTCGCGGTCCGTCGTGTCTCGGCCCAGAGTCCGATTGCTGGGTCCAGGCTAACAGGACAGACTCATGCCGCTCCACCCCTAGTCTGAGCCCCAGACCGCTGGCAGAAGCGTCCTAGGGCTGGCTGGCCTGGAATTGTCCCACGACCCTGGAACTTAACCCGCAAAGGGCAGAAAGAGGAAAGAAAAGCTGTGTCTTTTCCTACGCTGCGCTTTGGAGCTGACCCTCACAGCTGTACACAGCCCTCCAGTCCAGACCCAGAAATACAATTCGTTTGTTTTTTAAAAAAAGCATAAATTATGCCGTAATTAAACATACAACAAAACAGGGGGAGTGCCGTGTCGGGTTGAGGGGTTGTACAGGCGGTTCCCGGATTACAAGAACATCTGATTTATGGACGACTCAGATTTGTTCTTTAATGTTATGCAAAACTGTCCACTCTTTGAAACGACTGAACAGCTTCTACTGACAACAGATTCTTCATCATAATCACCTCACTTGTTGCACGTGCTAACTTTGAAAGCATTACGAAAGCTTGAAGCCTCTTCGTGCATGAAAATATGGCTATATAAGAACTGCACGCAGCAGTTCCAATTTACCTCACGTTTGACTTATAGACATTTCCTTAGTCACTCAGAGACTGCCACAGGAGATCTTTGCAGCCTAGTTTAAGAGTTGAAACACTTACCCACTGAGTCACTCACGACTTCCCAGGGAAGGAGAGGCACAATCAATTCCTCCAAGTTTGCTGTTTGGAAACTTGGCCCTATCTGACACATGAAAGCCTGCTCCTTCTCATCATGGGAACTCATCATTGTCACTGAGACAATGAATGGGCTGTAAACTCTCTGACAAAAGTGGTGTAATCAGCTCCATTAGTCCCCTTGTTGTGGTTGTGTATGGTGGAGTCAATATGGCTCTGAGTGCTCCTATAGGACAGACCCTAGGGAATTGTCCAGTAGGGTTTCCTGGATGAGAATCTTTAAGGAGTGACTGATGGGTTCCTTTGTTGCCAGGGATCCTTTTAGTTTCCCCCTAACAGCAGAGTTTTCTCTGGGGTGCACAATGAGACACAGAGCATTATCTATGGAGAAGAGCACCTATGACACCTATGAAATTTCGCAACATCTGACATCCATCTTTCAGAGAACTTTACCATAATATCAGTGCAGAAATACAAGTCATGCTCTTGTCTTTTACTTAATGCATACTACACTACGTGAAAAGTACAACGGTGCCTTTGCTTTCACTGATGAAAATCGGTCTAGGATGTGTTCAAAATCGCTCTCTCTTTTTCAGTTTCTTCTCTTTCTACACTCAACAGAGCAGCCCTGAACCTTCCTGGCAGAGGAAGTGAGAGGGGAGTAGCACTTCTTGGGCATGGCCCAGATCTGTGACCATCAGCACACTCTGGCTCACATGATGTCTGTTGTCATCTCTGGCTGTGGAAAGTGCAGAGCGTTCTGGAATCAGAAGTAGCCGAATGGATCTGAGTGCAGAGAGGAGGGGACCAGGAGAGCTGCGAGACTGCCCGGAGCTGAAGCCAACCCAAAGGGGAGAGTAGAAAGAATGACAGGAACCTCCAGAGGGATGGGCGGTGGGAATGCAGCTGGGCTGGCCTCCTTGTGGCTGCTTTTCCACATCTCTTGGACTCATAGGAGAGAACCACACGGAAATTAATGCTAACACAAAAACCCTGGCTATGATGAACTTGACCTTTGCTTATGAATGTAGTTGTTCAAAATGCCAACCGAGAGGGAAGGAATCTTCACATTAAGAATCAAGTCTATCCCCCCAGTACACAGGGTTGATAGGGATGGGCAACTTAGCCATTAACTACCTAAAATGGGGAGGGGGCTGCTACAGAGTGAGGCAGGGAAAGTAGAATTCCCACAGAATAGTTTTTATCTTGTCTAGAATTGTTGTTATTAAATACCATGGAGTCTGTTCCGACTCATAGTGGCCCTGCACAGGGTTTCCGAGGCTGCAAATCTTTACGGAAGCAGAAAGCCTCATCTTTCTCCTGTGGAACAGCTGGTAGTTTTGAACTGCCGTGCTTGAGGTTAGCAGCCCGATTCATAATCACTATGCTACCAGAGCTCCTCATCTTGTCTGGTGAAAGGAGATGGGGATAAGGTTCATTTATTCAATAGTGAGTAATCATTATGATAAGTAATAGCGATTTTCACAACTGTAAAAGAGTCCTGGTGTGGCGTGTGGCACTGTGTGTCAGACTGCAAAGTCGTTTGAACTACAAAGTCGGTGGTTCTAGCTCACCAGCTGCTCCTTGGAAACCCTACAAAGGGTCGCTGTGGGTCGGAATCAACTCGCTGGCACTTCACAACAACACAGCAACAACAAAGGTAGAAGATGTGTAGCAAAAAAAGGGGAGTAGTTAATCTCACATTACCCATCAGGAGGAAAGACCACGAGCCAAACATCGGATCCTAACCAGATATCCCACCAGAGACCAGAGACAGAGGCAGAAGTTACAGCATGGAGAGATAGAGAAGCTGAAGACTCTAGACTCATGGAAAGAGAAAGGCTGTGTGCTGGCAGGCAGGAAGCTGGCTTACAATATGTGCCCTTTGGTTGTTTAAACAATTATATATTCCTGTGTGCTTTTGTGTACATCAAAAAATGGGGGTGGGGGTGGGGAACAGAGGCAAATACTGTAAACTGATGGTGCTTGGAGGTGTTTGTAATCATTGCAATGAAACCAAATACAGTTGGTTGAGTGCAAAACCGATGTTCTCCCATGTAAACTATCATTCAATTCACAATAAAATAAAATAAAATAAAACCCTGGCTAGACAGCAGGAAATACGTTTCTTGCTGAGATAAGTTTTGGGAAGAGGAAAAGATCCCACGGTCTGTCTTGATTCACGTTGTTTTGTTGTTAAGTGCCACTGAGTCGGTTCTGACTCATAGTGATCCTATATAGGGTTCTCAAGGAGTGGCTGGTGAATTTGAACCACTGACCTGGCTGTTAGCAGTCCAGTGCTTATCCTACAGTGCCACACCAGGACTCTGCTTTGATTCGTGGAGGCTTTCAAAGACCAACATAGTAGTTTTAACTTGCTGAATGATCTCTCACAGCTGGTGATGGAAAGTGTTCAGTGGTGTTGCCCTTCAGTTATTGCCCAGGGCACCTGCCATACCTGCTATAACCTAGATAGACCTCAGGTTGGTGGGAACGACACACCTTAGTTTCCTGAGGCTCCTTCAGTCTATTTTGAAGGCTTTGGTGTTTCTCTCTCCCTTCTTCCTCTCTTTAGTGCTGTGGGGTATAGTTCTGGGTAAATGGCCTAAACTATTGGAAAGCCTTCACCAGGCTGTTGCTTTCCTGGGTTGGAATATGCACCAGGAGTCAGAGAAAAGGAGACAGTGGGTTTCTGAATCAGCAAGTTCCTTGGCTGTGCCAGGCTCACCAGCATGGATGAATCTATCCTGTTACCATCACTTCTTGCGTTGTGCCTGTAGGTTCCTAGGCTCCCTGCCCTCTTAGGTCTTATGGAAACATCTGGGCACATGTATCACCCCAGGGACCCTGGCTGGATCTGAGTCTGAATGTCAAAGCCCAGGAAGGCCTGCAGCTTCTGACAGCAGCTTTGTTGCCCTGCACAGGGACCAAGGATCCAAGTTAGTGGGCTGCCCAGCATCGTGAATCTGCAACTAGAGATGCTTTACAAATCGAACTCCATTCTCCAGAGTTGATCTAGAATCTTCCATAGTTCAGCTGTGTCACTAAAACCAGGGCTTCAATAAGAGGTGGTGGGAGATTTATAGAGGAATTTTGTTGTTTAATTAAATAATTGTGGGATTGACTGAGGGGCAAACAAGGTGGGGGCCTAGAATTCTGCCCTTTTGGGGGCAAGGGAGTGAAGCCTGTCTGCTCACAGATGGACAGCCACCACCTTGCTGGCCAGAAAGTCAGGATTCAAGGCCGCCTCACCTTATACCTTCAGACATCCTCATGAACCTTGACATTGCTTGGACTGCCTCATTAGCAGCTCTTTCCAGCTGCTACTCATGTGATCTTGGGAGCTGGAGATCAGAGCGGGAGACTCAGCCATGGGTTTTGTCATAGCAAAAGGCTCCTGGAGCAGACGAGGCCTGGCTCTGGGCTTGTCTAGACCAGCAAGCTATCTCTGTTCCCCTTTTTCTTGCTTACTGGAAGGGATGAAGGCAAGATGCTATTCTCCCATTTCACAGGTGAGTAAACAGAGGCATACTGGTACTTGCCCAAGGCATCACCTTCAGTGAAGGAACCAAGGGCAGATGATGTGGGGGTAGATGGTGCAGGGCATGGTAGAAGGGATTTCTTACTGTCCTCTGCATCTTGCTTTACAAACCTGTCTTGGGGCCTCAAGTGCTTTACAGGTGCAAGATACTGACAATGTTCCTTCTGGTTGTACTAGTTGCAAGACTCCAACCTGTAGTCTTGCCTTCAGAGAGACTGGGGGAGCCACAATGAATCACTGGGTTATCTGGGGGCGGGGTGGCCTGAGCACCCAAGTGTCTGGGATTCCAGCTCTTTTTATCAGGTCCTTGACCTGCATTCCAGCCGTGTGCCCTGAGTTTGCACTCT